CTGCTTAAAAAAAATTACCCATGCCATTTCTCTCCCATGTTACTGTGGTGAAGGTTAAGTTAGCATTGACTATAGTCTATAGTCTTACGAACGACAAGAACCTCTACTCTAAACCTGATACACTAGGCATCACACAGTTTCTATGACTGCTGTACAAAACCTGTCCTAGTTGCAAAAGTCGGCATCTGAACCCACCGGCAAGGATCCAACCAGACTCTGCTCCTTGGTTATAGCTGCACTCAGCATGTATAAGCAATCTTGTACCAAAGAACATACAGTTGTCTGAACTGCCCTAACTCTCTAGGGCTATAGAGAATTTAAGCCGCAATTGCTCTGGAGGTGTAAAAATGCTAAGGTTTTTATACAATATACTCATATTCCTTTTTTCAAATAAAAACGTTCACAAGAGCGTAAAAGATGCTGAAATACCAAGAGAGGTGACCTTTTGTAAGCACATTCACGTTCTCCTGAGAGATAAAGAATAAAGTCATTCACCACCAAGTGTAATATTCCTCACTTCCACAGGCCTGATGAAAGGAGTCAACACAGGTAGTTTCAAATTAAAGCACAGTTGGAGCAGCGAGGCTGGAAATGTATCTCTGCGAGGAGGTATAAGGAGGCAACAGGATGCTGTTTATGAAAACCTGCACGTGATCGGAACCTGCCAGGGCTTCATCCCTGTCCCCTCACCCCCATTAGTCTGGTCACCAGGACAAGCCCTAATGCGGCCACTTACTGTAACATCTGGGGATGACAGGAAATAAGACTCCATTGCAAAATGAGCGCTATTCCCACACACCCCACATACGGAAGCACATGACTCCAATAAGCAGAAAGGGCAAAGGTTATTTCTAACGATTTCTGTGTAAGTGCTGAGAAATCCTGGGCTTGCCCATTACAGAGGCGCTGCGGAGCCCAATTCTGTAATGGAAATGCGGGCCAGGAGGGCCCGTTCCAGACGGGGAGAGGTCATGTTACCCGCCAGGGACACAGCTGGTTTGGGGCAGGCCCAGATTAGAACCTCAGGTGCCCATCCTCCACTCCCAGAAAACTCTCAAAATAACAGAACGTAAGGAACTGGGCCCCACAATCCACTGTGCCCCAGAATTAGTTTCTATAAAATGAAAACTAATAACTCATCAAGGTGGCGTCCTGGCCATTCCTCCCTGCTGATTTATATTAGTTAGATCGGCAGACAAAACTGGTTTATATTTTCTTAAGATGTCAGTTTGCGGCTTGTGTTTTCTTTCTTTTCAAATCCTTTAAAATTGTCTGCCTTGTTGTTTCTTAAAATGACAAACATCCATCCAAAAGTACCATGACTTTGGGGGTGTCTCGTTCACAGGGGACGCCTTTTATGCACATGCTCTGTAGGACCTTTATAGTGGAAAACAAATCACTTTGCAGTCCTGATCAATGAAATGTCCCCAAACTTGGTGGCATGCCATGTGAAATATAAAGAAGCGGCCATCCCCAGGGCTTGGGGAGAGGAAAGTGAAGTAGCATCATTTGTATAAAGAGGTCACAGTTCACAAGGTCCTGACAGAGAAGGTTCTAACACCTTCATTAACAAAGGTTTGGTGCCTTGAAAATCATTTCATGAAGGTAGGTGAGCATATTTTCACATATAAAGCCCTAAGGATTATACAGCTATGTGCCTCTTTATGGGGAGTTTTCTTTTCTCTCTAGTTAATTAATATCATAATTTCTAGTTTTAGAAACTGTGAGAGAATAATCCCACGTGCATTTGGCCTAACCCCTTTTCTTATTCAGCTCATGGATGCACATTTTATTATTCATCTTGATTTGAACAAAAGGCAAGATTTTCCCCCCTTCTGCTCAGAAACTACCTTTGGGAAATTAATATTCAAGATGAACAATGAACTCATCTCATGGCCTGTGAACTTGCTGGTTGCCAGGAGGCCTGTGAATTCTTAGGATTATTTTCGATTTGGTAGCATGAATCAGGGGCTTAAATAGTCATATAAGGCATGGTCTTCAAAATTTAAAGTTTCAGAATTCTCTAACTGTCCGTTTGTAGGATCTCCTTAAGTTTGATATGTGTCTATTCTAACCTCTTGAGCTTAAGTGTAGTTTATCCCAAAGGTACGTGAAAAAGCCAAGGCTAAATGTCAAGCCTGTTGCTGTAAATCACATTTCAAACTGGTAGTTACTTATTAGTGAAAAAAGACTGTTTGAAAAGGTTCTGTCTCATTAGAAAGCGATTATGGAATGCCTATAATTTTGGCTTAAGTAAACAGAGTTAAACTTGAAATACCTACTGTGAGATAGTAGGCCAGATCAAAAGGACAGCTATTCAAATTTCCAAGGACCTCTCCTTTCCTAAAGTTAAAAAAAAAACAGTGATTTTCACCATATTTTTAAGGAATATTTGTTGGAGGGGATTTCTCTTTCACCATATTTTTAAGGAATATTTGTTGGAGGGGATTTCTAAAAACAGTCTCCACTGAAGTTATTTCAAGTCATTTAGTATTTCTCTGAAGAAGCTTATCTTGTCCTTTGAACCCAACAGAAAAACCTCTTTTTACTGAGAATAAGTATGATAAATACTAGTAGCTATTATGGCAAAATGACTGGACAAACAGAAAGAAGAAGTATGAAAAGCTTCATGTGTTTCTAAGCTGCTTCATTTTCTATTTCATTTCATGTGACAAAGGCTCTGTTTGTATCCAGAGTCACTAACTTGATATAAGTGGACTTTCTTACATTTGTTAAGGGGAAGACAACTTCTCCCAAATGATGTCAAAGTGTCTCAATATACCATCTATTACTATCAACACTGGTATTTGGAAAGGAACCATATTTGAAAAGGCAACTGACAAGCTACTCTCAATCTCCCCCAAAAAGATGTGTATGAGAAAGATTCCACCTACTCTCCCAGTGTTCATTGTATGTGTTTGTCTTAATATTTACTTTATCCTTCCATGAGCCCCAACCCTTTTTATTATACATATTGGCTAATAATTAAAATAAAGAATAAATAACAGCTTCCATCCTTGGACAAAACTATATTATACCCAACCCTGCAGCCCCATGAGAATCTAGCAAGGCACTTTGCTTGAGGTGGGGGGAGGCTCCATAAAATGCTGAATGAATAACACAGCTCTTCTTCCCCCACCTTCTGGTTTTCTTTTCTCAGTAGTAACCTAACATGAAACCTGCACAGACAACCACCAACCTGAAAGAGCTGATCCTTCAGTATCCCCATAGGACCAGCTTACTCTTTACAAGTCAAGAAATAAGAGAATCAAAGAAAATGAAAAGCTTCTTCCTCAAGCCCTCAAAAACGCCTTGAAAAACTGGCAATAGCAGAGAAGTTCTTTAGCAAAGAATAAAAATGTGATCATAATGATGCTATGACAAGATAGGTGAAAACAGGCTCCATGGGAACATGCCTGAAATCATTACAGAGTCTTGCAGGTTTGTTGAAGACATTACGGCCACCTGCCCTCCTACAGCCTCACTCTTGGTTATCAGTACTGATTCCTGAAGAGGGGCAAAAAAGAGGCGAAACTCTTCAGTGTGGAATGAAGACATTCAAACCCCAAGGATATGAAACCTGAGATTATCTGAACACTCAGTGTAGACATGGGTTTATGGACATACGTGTTTTGAGGTTACACTTGGATTTAGGTGTATTTCAAAATTTACTACCACCAGCCTGAAGAATAAAGCAACCACAGCAGTGACTGACTTCAATTACTGAAGTATAAACTGTAGTTGTCACTTCCTTTACAAATCTGGCATTTCATGACAGGGAAAATCAAGGGAGCCTTATTGCCAAGACAGTACATCCTTATGTCACCAGATTTTGCAGTAAAAAAGACGGTTATTTTATTTAGGTTTTATACTCACGGAAATGCACTCACAAGACATTTTTAAAGCATGAGATACCAGCCCCAGTTTTTTTTTTTTTTTAAACTTGCTGTTTTAAGAGAAAGATACTAGAGCTAGACTTTGAGTACCAACTGCAAGCTTAAAGCAATCTTCCCAGGATTTAGAGTGATTTGGTATAGATGTGTTTTCAAATATAACCTCGGTTTTCCCAGGACATTTTGTTTAGAAGAAAATGAATTCATTCAGAATGAAAAACAAACAAACCAAAATTGGTGTCTTACACGTCATTACATACAAGTGGTCGACAGTAAGTAAGGAGAAAACAACGAGAAGAGTTTCAGGATTTTCCTCCTTCAGCGTTTCAAGTATTTTATCCCTGGGTTTCCAAGTCACACAGCAAAGCCATCCGCTGTATTTCCAAAGGCAACTAACCGGCGCCTTCAGAAATGCTTCTATGCATTTTAAGATGAAATCCTTCATTCCCGTTCACCGTTTTGTTTGTCCTTCCTGTCTGACATGCAAATACATGACACAGCCTCCATTCTTTCCTTATAACCTGATTCAAAGCAACATATGTTAAATCCACACAAAATCATGTGAGCATTCAATCCGCATACACACCATTACCCCACCGAATGCATTCAGTGGGCTGCAACACAGTTCCCTGCGTGTAAGCAGACCAGCCTGAGACCTCTTCCCTGATTCAAACCATCCAGAACTGTGCATGGAACCTGTTCCCTTTTGAAAAAGAAAGGCTGTTTAAATACCCACTAGGATAATAACTGGCCACAATGCGGGAGCGAGCAAGCCCGATGCTGCGGGCAACGGCGGGCGCAGGCTCTTCCACAAGCTCAAGGAGGCTGGGCGCCCGAGCTGGCGGTCATTTATCTGTGCAGCCAAAACGCCCGGCACGTCCCCCTCCCAGATTTCACCTAACTAATAGCTCTCCAACCCCATATTGAGAGGGCCTGCTGTGGATCTTGCGGAGGTACAAAATGGTGGATGAGAGCTAATTTTTTTTCCTGCTTTCCCCAAAACTTATCGCATCCATCACCGCCCGTCCTCCCGGGGAAGCACCCCGGCCGCGGCGCTCGGAGCACGCCCCGTGGCCCCGGCCTGGGGGCAGGGACGCGGTTACCAACCTGATGTCATGTAGCCCCGCGAAGCCTGGGGCGCGAAGGCCGCGGGGAAGCGCTTGTGCAGGCGGTAGTCCTTCTCGCTGCGGGACCTCATGCGGTCCGAGGCCCGGTCTGAGAAATCCGAGCTAGGCCAGGCTCGCCGCAAGGTTGTGCTCCGGGTCTTCTTCATGGTGGGGAGGGCGACCCGCTGCCCCGATCCTCGGGGCCTCAGCGCCGGGGCGCAGCACGCGGCTTCATCCGTCTACGGCGGGCACGACCCGGGCGGACTCTGCGCGCATTTTCCCAGCCCCTCCTCGTCGGCGTCTACACCGCCAGCGGCGGGTCCGGCCCTCCCCACGCCCCCACACCCCCCCACGGCGAAGGCTCCGATTTTACACACGTCCCACAATGCATTACACTTCATTTGCAATCCGCCCGGCTTATAGCTTCCAGATTCCTGGGGGGAAAGGCACGTTAGGAGGCTCCCCGGCCAGGAGGAGGCGGGGAGGGGGCGGGCGGGGTGAGGGCGCCGAGACTTGCAGCGTGAAAGCAATGGGAGCGCAGACAATGGCCCGATTCAGCGCAGGAGTGCTTAGCCAACTGTGAGCCACGGCACAAAAGACCCAAACAAATGAGGAAGCCCAGGCCTCCGGTGGTGACCCGGGATCGGGCGCCCGGGAAGCCGGAGGGGCGGCGGCAGACCCTCTCCGCACCGGGCGGCTCAGAGCGAGGCGTGGGGATGACAGTGTCCAAGTCGTGTCCCCCTGGGCCTATCAGCCGCGCGGCCCGCAGTCCCGGGCGCGGGCTGGCTCTGCCTCCCCTGCAGTCCTCGGGAGGCAGTCTTCATTACAGAGGCTCGGATGGGGGGCGCGTGTGCACAGGATCCGAGCAGGCTCTGCAGTCAGCAGCTGCGGCGGCGGGCCCCTGCCGAATCCAGGAAGAGTCCTCGCGACTGCAGCGCCTCGTCGATCTTCCTCCTTCCAAGGCTCAGGGTGGTGTGCGTGCGTGTCTGCGTGTGCGTGTGTGCGCGCGCGCGCCGACACGCATGTGCCCCCCTACACAGGCATGCTCCTACTTACTGGCCGCGGCGGCGACGGGAGCCATGGCTGCCAAGGATGCGGAGCCTGCCGATCGCCACCCGCACGGCGGCACCGCTGCTCAGTCGCGAGCGCGCAGAACAGCTATTGAAGGACCGGAAGCCGGGAAGCCGCTCAGCCTCACGCTAATCACCGAGCTGCCTTAAGTTAGAGCACGGATCCTGTCAGGCTTCTCATTTTCATGTAAAACACCCTGCGGCGGCTCTGGGACTTGGCTGGTACCCCAGCCAGGAGTCAGCGCTCGGATATTTACATCTTTTTAGGATGGCGCCTCCCGCTTGCAGAAAGGGAGAGAAACCGCTCGGTGGGAACAGGGCAGTCTGCGGTGCCCTGCCTTGCCCACCTGCGCCAATCCCGGAGGCAGCTAGATCCGGGGGAGGGGGCGCCACCCGGGGCTCCGCCGACAGCCGCAAACGCCCGGGCACCTGGTCCACGCCGCCTGGAGGACGCAGCGAGGGCGCCTCCGGCTCTTCTTCGCTGTCCCTCGAGCCCCCGGTGTCAGTCACTGCCAGCCCGCTAACCTGCATTCAGGTCCACAGCCCCACTACCCGGCTCGGCTCTGCACCGCTGTTTCTGGTCCAACAACCAATCGCTAAAGGACAACAATGCACGCTGCGCGGGAGGGGAGGAGGGGGCGATGCGCCGCCCCGGCCGAAGCGCCGGGCCCGGGATGCCGGGCCGGGACGCGGAGGTCACTGCGAGTTAAAGGTGCGCGGCCACATTGCGGAGAACCCCGACCGCGCTGCGCTGCGGCCGTTTTGTCAGCTTGGCTTCTCGTTTGGGTTTCCAATAACGCTTAGGTGTTGTAAACAACAAAAATAAACCCGATTCTTCTTACGTCTTTGCGCTTTTTTCCATTTGTGACGATGCAACGTTCAAAATCATGTTTTATGCTGTTCTACATATTCGCAGGTGGCAAGGTACAGAGACAGGGATATGAAATCTTTATGAACCTATGATCTTTTCAGGTTGATTCTGTAAACCCCCCCCCCAAAAAAAACCCGCACTGGGTTCTAAATGGTTAAGATTCAGGAGTTTTAGCACAATTTGGTGCTTTTCCAAGGCTTTAATTCTTTGCGGGGGGGGGGCAGGTTCTCGAAGAACGACACAGAGGGGGGCGAGGTTTCGGCAACAAACATTATAGAACCTAGAACTTCCATTCACTATCTAAGGGCTGCCCTCTGTAACCTGGGGCCAGTGTAACTGATCTATCTCCCGGGAACCTGGGGGTAAACAAACAAAAATCTCTAAGCAACTTGTATTTACACTAATCAAAATTTATTACTTATTAATACAAAATTTATTACCGTAAACCAGTTAGCTAATATTCAATGATATTTTTTAAAAGTTAGAAAAGGACAGTCTCCCAAAAGGCACATTTTGCTAAATTGTCTTCTTCACTGTAAGAGGACTGCTAAGAACAGAAAGCCTCCAGCTTTAGAAGCTAAAGAAGACTAAATGTGTAAAGAACCATAAAGGTAATAAAAAATAATTGTATTAATGAATGCATGAGATATTGACATTTAGATATCTCAATCCAATTCAACAACTACCCTACATCCCATGAGCCAAAAGTGGTTATATGAATGATTATAATGGTTACGACTGAAGGCTAATGGTGATTGCTGTGACAACTGTGATACTTATTCATTTAGCAAATGATTTTTGACTGTCTAGTATATGCTGTGATGGATGCTGGGCAAACAGAACAACACACACGGCTCCACGTAACTTATGGTCTAGGTAGTAAGCAAATAAATGCACGGATTGTGTTAAGGTCTACAAAGAAGAATCACCTCCATGAAAAAATGACAGTTAATCTGAGACCTACAGTACGTGGAGTCATCCAAGCAAAGAGTAGGGAGAGTGATGTTTCAGAAACTGGGAACAGTGCATGCAAAGGCCCTGAGGTGGGAAAGAAACTTGGCTTCTGTTGGAAGAAGTGAAAGAAGGCCAGTGTGGGTGGAATTGGAGCATAAGAGGAAGGCGTGTGATGAGATCACGGATGAAGCCAAGAGCTAGATCACGAAAGGACTTGCAGGCCATGTTAAGGGTTTTGTATTCTATTGTATTATGTGAGCCACTGAAGGGTTTTAAGCAAAGAAGCAATGATAGTTTCAGAATTTCTATATAAAAGGGGCTTATAGAAGAGGGATTCTGTTTAGGGGAGGGGGTCATCCAGGACTTTTCCGGACTGTAAATTTGAATCGCACTTGACTTAAAACTGAGAAAATATTCATTGTTCATCTGAAGGAATGGGGGTGGGTTGATGGATATTCTGGGAGCAGAGCTACAGCTCCACTCAGCTGCCTCTGAATGCTGGCCTTTGCAGAGCAGCAATATCACCCAGTGTCCATACTCAACAGAATGCTCTTGGAGCCAAAGTCAAATAGCCAGACACAGAAGAATCAGGCGGTAAACAGGCTGGGTTAGCTTAATCGAATCAGATAGTAAAGCAGGAGAGGTAGAGACAGTTAAGTAATTTATCCATCCAAATTAAGTGGCAACATCAAAAGAAGTTATGAAGGTAAGACTTGAATCTAGCAAACAACATACTGTGAAACCAACGCTATGTAAAGAAAGTGGAATCCCGTTATTACAGCCACTGTTAAAATCAGACTCAGTGTGTCCATCTGTCCTATGAAAAGATTCACTCTGGTCATACTCAACCCCTAGGTCCCTAGTCCTAGTTTCAAATCGCTCAACCTACTTGAGACAATCAAGTATCTGGGTCTTGAACTGTCCATCAAGTAAGCTCAGTTGTATAATCCCAGTTTTTCCTAGTAGGAAAGTTTAGAATTAAATAGCGAAATGATACAGCAAATCACTTTCACACTACTCGAAATTTTTAAATCAGGCTTAATAATTTGTACATTTGGTATTTACACATCAGATAGAGACACTAATTAGACCCACATTTGCTTTGTGATTCTAATTCAGATGTATACAGTTAGCCCTTGAACAACCAGGTTAATTCAAGTATAATTTATAGCAGCCATTCCAGCCACGGTTCCTCAGATTCAATCAACCACGGATGGACCATGTGGTATTTACTATTGAAAAATACCCATGTGTAAGTGGAAATGGGTAGTTCAAACCTGTGTCATTCAAGGGTCAACTGTAATTGATTTTAGACTTGTAATTTTAAGTTGAAAGGTAGAAGAATTTTGACTTTGACTCGCTCCTCATTTAAAACCTTGGTTTATTAGATTTACAAGAGTTGAATGAATTTAATAGTTACAAGTATGTAAGCTCCATGAAGGCAAGGGATGTTTTGTTTTATTCATTGCAGTTCATTGTTCTGCTTTGTTCATAGCTGTGTCCAGTGGCTCACAGTAACTGGCCCAGATGTGACGACTAATGAAGCCTGATTAAGTACTCTGAAGAATCTGGTTTGAAATTTTCCATAACTGTGTTTCTAAATGGAGCTAATTATTGAGTAAAAGGACTTTAGTCTTCAATGTGAGTCGATCAAATGTTTTTCAAAGGCCCCTGAGAGTTACAGTTTTAATTTTATTATTTTTAAAATACCAAATTTACAAACTGAATGCATTGAACCTAAAAACTGAAGGAAATTTGATTTTCCCATTTGTATCTCTAATCAAGGAAAATTTGATATTTTGAACTTGTATCTCTTGTATACTGAACATTCATTAAAGACCTAAATATAAGTGATCTTTGCTGTGCACAGAAAGCCCCACTTTGGTATGGTAAGAGAGCTAAGTCCGCAGAAAGGAAATAGGTGTTTATATATTTACGTACGTCTGTGATATATGCATCAAACTTTGTGATTAAAATATTTGTTAAATAAAAATCAAAATTCTGAGTCTGATGGTCATTTATCTTGCTGCTGCGTCCTGAAACATAATTTGAAAAAGATATTAACAGTTTAATTTGACAAATGTGCTTTTAGTCAAAAAAAATACATATACACACCTTAAAATTGTGTGGCTGCATGGCCCAGGTTAAGAAGCTAAATGGAATCTGGAAATGAATGTGTCCCAAAAGGACGAGGGCTTTTTCAGAGGCTTTCGAGCTAGAAGATTGGGAGTATTTCTTATGTGACGCATATATACACTCATATATTTGCATGTATGTACATATGCACATTCATATGACCTGGGCCTCCAAAAGTAGCTAATAAGGTAGCTGACCATGTATTTGGTAGATACATCTTTGTCCTCCTTTGCCCAGGCTCCAAACTGCTAGCTATAATTTTATCAGAAAGCTTGAGCATTTATTGTCTTAGAAGATGCTCTCTTCTTATGTGGACCACCAGTGTGGTTGCCAGGGCAGTGGTCACGCTGCTGGCATGAAGGTCTGCAGCTCCCAATAAATAATGTGCTCTGGGGAACCCCTGTCCTGAGATACATTAACAAATGTGACTTGGAAAGAGGGTTCCATTATAAATTCAGAAGATGTGCTAAAGTTAAAACAGGCCTGCTGGACTTCTCAGAGCCTTTCATGTGCAAACGCACCTTGTAAATCCACCAAGAAAACAACAATAACAACAACAACTGCTCTTCAAGCTCTAATCATAGGACCACCTGTTGCTGGAACACATTTAGGCAAACAGATCTAGACAGGTGGTGGGAGGTGATAAATCCATGGCGTAAAACATGTTTCATAGAAGTCGTAAGTATGATGAGACAGTGTATATATTGGTCTTTGCATCCCTATCAAAATCTAAGCTGAATTTCCCTTAGTCTCTCCACTCAGGTACATTGTCACCTATAACCCACTGCCGACAGGGCTATAATGAATAATGGTGGTCAATGAATTCTACTCCCAAAGAAAGCAATTATTTGGGGATGGAGGAACTCACCAAGGAGAAGTAACTCAAGAGGGGCCTTGAGTGTTTGGGAGAATGGAGAGGCTGGAGTAGGCTGGCAGGATGATGACATCCGTCTCCAGGCCAGACTAAGCGAAGTCAGAGTAATAGAGGGCAGGTCGGTGTGGTGACGCCAAGGAGAGCAGGCATTCACGTCTTTGCTGGGGGCCTGGGAAAAGTTCATCTTTGAGTTCCACTGTTTCAACTGTCATGGTGATAAGCTCTCAAAGTGAAGATCAGAGGTAAATATATAAATGTTCCATTTCACTGCTGGCAAGCAGAAGGCATCAAGAAAAAAAGAGCCAAGTTTATTATTACGCTTGATCACTAAGGGGGGGCACTTTAAAAACCTGAACCCTTTCTAGATCCTTTTGTTCACCTATGCATCCTGCTTTGCATCAAATAACAAAACAAGCTGAATTCCAGCGGGGGCCAGCAAGTAACAGTGATACCATACCGTGGATGCTACTGAGTTAAACAGCTGAAATACGGAGCACCCGCACACTGGGTTTAGGAAAAAGAAAGAAGAAAACACCCAGGCACAGCTAGCGTGTTTTCAAGAGCTGCAGCATTCAGTGGCGCCCAAACTGCTCAAACTGGAGCAGTTACCCAGGGTCGAGAACAGAGTCCAGAGAAGGTAGAAACAACCTGTGTCCGTCAACAAATGGAAAGAGCAAGTGTGAGGAAATTCTGACACACGCTACAACATGGATGAATCTTGAAGGTATTATGCTAAATCGGCTAGACACAAAAGAACAAATATTGTATGATGCC